GCCACCCAGTGGACCACACGGTCAAAGCAGGACTTGGCATCATTCGAGATCCACCCTGCGGCGCGGCGTTGAAGGATCAGTAGATCCCACACTAACCGTTTAGACAAGGCCAGGTCAATTGCTTGATGCAGTTTGCATGAGCCGCATTGCCCGTCGGGTATCAAGGAGTGCGCTTCGGCAAATTGCATGGCTGCACGGCCCGCCTTCTTATTGTTTGCCTGGGCCTCGGAATTCATCAGCTTTCATCAGCTGGATGGTGCGCATTTTAGATAGGCGGAAGTCTCCAGGCTTCTTTTCAATGGCAAAGTTCATCAGGTTTTGCCATTGAAGAGGAACAAACCCTGTGGTGAGAGGAATGTTCCGGAAAAGGGCATCACAGTATGCTATAGATGGAGACTGGATAGCCGCCTTAAAGTGTCCATTATGTAGTCCATTAGGTTCGGATCCTTTATTCTCAGGGTTACGCGACCAGAAGTACACTTGATTGTCCTTGGAGACTTGCAAGTGGACTGGAGAGTGCCCTTTGTGAAATCGGCAGTGAGATAAGAAAGAAGCCGTAGCTGGGTCCAACAGATCAGGTAATGTGTAACGGCCTTCTAACAATGCCAGAGAATTTATTTCAGCGTTGTCACCGGTAAATTCGCTATATATCGGTTCAGCCATAGGTGGAGTGGTATACGGCGCTCGTGTTTGATCATAGCATGCCGTGTTTTCTTGCATGCACCCATCTTCTACCAGGCGGCGGTCAGTGATGGTCCGTGGTAAGTGTTCTTCAATTTGAATAGCCTGAAGGCCCCCTGTAGATCCTTTGCTCTGGGATACCCCGCAATTTGTTGTAAAACCAGATTTTTCTTGTTTTTAAAGAGTCCATGTGGTCATTTTCATCCTCTTCTGCACGAAACTCCAATTAAAGGCTTTACTTAGGAAAAATCTGTGAGTGCCTTCTACGACTTCAAATATTTAACATTCACAAAACTCGTTAAGTAGACAAAATAAATTGGTTTGACTTTTCGACTTTGTATTATTTTGTTGTGGTCATCATTTACAGCAATTTGATATTCCGAAATTGCTGTAAATCATTATTTTGGGAAGTACGTGGTCTGTCCTCCGTACGTGTAGTTTTGTAGTCTGAAAGGATCTGGTAGTCACAAGTTTTCCTTGTCTATATTTCGTCCAGTAATTGATCTGTTTTGACTGACTAGCAGCGCATTTTAACGGTTTATCAGACCCAGGAAGCTCTTTGTTGTGAGCTAAAGCTTGAGAAGGCTTTTTGAAATAATATCTGGTCTCCAAAGTTTGTGGTTGACCGGCAAAGGTTGGATCGCCCATTGCCAAAGGATCCGTGGTTTTCACGTTGCTACATTTCAGTCTCAAGCGTTGACTGAAGACGGCCACTTGTTACCGTTTAAACCGTTTGGTTGCGAGTAATTTGCCACACGGGTAGACGTACCCAGGATATCTCGCTTGATACTCCGTATATAATTATTTGTAGTGCAATTCTTTTAATTAAGATCTCACACTGACGTAGTTGTGCAAAATTGCATTATACGACTCCATAGAAAAAGAAAACACGGAAAACGAAAAGCACCGAACCGATCGGAACTTGCAAACGGTCTTCGTAGTCTAAGTACCAGAGTCTACGTAGAACTTGCTGAAGTTTTTATCAATTCAACGGCATTTCACTGTTTTACAATGGGGAAGTCTACATCACTGAAGGTTGTCTCAACGACTGCCAACAAGGCGGGCGGGTCCACACCCAAATCGGTTTCTGTCGCCAAAAAGAGCGGAAAGAAAAGATTGGAAAATGCATCTGCAGTTGATTTACGTCAACCTAAGGACAGGGATCCTACTGTCAACAATGATTCGGAGATTCGAGAGCTGATCGCATCTCTCCCACCACTGATCGACTTTGGGTTATCTACTCACGAATTGATTGCTATCGGGTACGACTATAATTCAACTAAGATTTCGTTTGGTAACTCCATTTACAATCAATGGATGGAAGAACATAATGATCGGTGGACCCAAGCGCTCCCAAGGTTTGACAGCCCGTTCAAGGACCTCTACGCTAATTATTCAGTTGAAGTAAGGGTGAACATGCTATTCGCTCAATATGCAAACGATTGGCGACGGGTGTTGAAATTCCTAATTTCGCTTTTTGACGATGACGCCTTGGGAAACGTGGAAAAAACTACAGAATACACATGGGGAGTGAGAGCAATCGCATTGCAAGTCGCTCAGCAGATTCCGTTTTCCTTTTTTGATGTTGGCCTTGTGAACGATTCCAAAGTTCCACAAGAAGATCTGTATTTTTTGAGGGACGATAGGACGAATCCCGCTCTACGTAATGAGACTCCCCTGGTGCAGTTTTGGTTGATGTGTGCTTCCATTTTTGATCACCCATGGACGATGCTTTTTGACGAATTTCTCGAGGAATCCCCAATCTCTTGCATTCAAGAAATAAAATTGAAGGTGATTGAGGGATTTCCCAATGACGAAACTAATATGGTGGATATTCACAAGGGGGTCAAAAAGATATTTGATCCTGACTACGAAGATTCTGAGGAGGAAGATGATCCGATGGGCGACGAGGACACTGGCCTTGTCAATCAGTTCGGCCAGCCCGATGGATGGGACTCGGACGAGACAGTTGACGACTCCAACGACCGAAGGAACGACATGGAAATAGACGGTGAACTTGCTTCTGGTGACGACTGCACCCATTACGACAACAAAGACGACAAGGGCGAGGCGGAGGAGGATGACGAGGATACTGACGAATCAACCAAGGATTCTGTCATCCTCGTGGAACGTACTTACGATCCTACGGATACTGCAAACGACGAAGACAACAACAACATGGGCCTGAATACGGATGAGGCAGTTTCCGAACTGACCGGTGTTACTGGTGAAGACAAGGACCCTGAATTGGCATCTCCGCCAAGGAAGAAGGGACGGTCCCACAGGGTTTCGGTACACACTTTTGTCAGGCAATATCCAAATGCCCCGGCTGGTGGGCTGAAGCCAGTACGGACCAAGCCGATGCTCATTCTTACGACGAGATCGCTGCGTTAATCCTGTCTGGCTTGAAGGTGTACGACCCATCACTTGGTGGTTCTATGCCCCAGCTTCGGTCCAGCATGCAGAATCTGTTTTCTCTTGGCGACCTCGACGACGCCGACGATGACGAAGCTTCCTGGTCTCTTCACGAGTACTTTCTTCGCCTCGCGACACAGTGCCCCACGGTTGTGTTTGATCTCGCTGCGGCCCAACGCGTTATTAAAACTGACGAAAAGTCGCCTCGCTTTTGGGAATTCGCGCTCGTGTTCGACCCAACATTAATTGTTCAACGCGCCGAGCCGTTGACTTGGATGTGGCTAGCGGCATCCGAATTCTTTGCTCATCCTTGGACAGGCCCGGCCATTCTTCCTCCCATTGTGGAGGAATTCGAGCGACTAGAAAGAGAGTAAAAAATATCCAAGGCTCAGTCCAAGTCTAAGAAGCGCCCTGCATCTACTCCAGAGAACCCAAAAGGTGCCAAGGCCAACGATTCGCGCCCGTCTCCCGCTGTCCCGATGCAAACCGACCCGGCACCGAAGGGTCGGTCCCAACCCTTCCAACGAACTCCACCTTCTGATGCCACTCCTCCTCGCCAACAAGTGATCCTGTCTGACGCCGTCCACGTCATCGCCAGCACCCCAACCGGAACACAGGAAGCCAGTGCTCCTACTGACGCCGTCGTGCAAGCCAGCCAACCGTGTGTTCGTACCAGTGGGGAACATGGAGCAGAGGACCACAATAGCGCCCCGACCTACAGGGACGCTGCTGCCTCTCTCCCCGCTTCCACGGTACCCCTCACCACTGACGAACGATTGACGCGCCTTCTCGCTGTCACTTGGAATGCCTCCCCCTTCCGGCACA